CTAGACCATATCGGATAGTTATTTGAACTACTGCAGAAATCTGGATCTTCGGATGACCTGATGACCTATTTTTAGTAGTTGAACTGCAAAAGAATTCCGATACCGGGAATCGAACCCGAGCCTCCTGGGTGAAAGCCAGGTATCCTAGCCACTAGACCATATCGGATGGTTATTTGAACTACTGTAGAAATCTGGATCTTCCGGATGACCTGATGACCTATTTTAGTAGTTGAAATGCAAAAGAATTCCGATACCGGGAATCGAACCCGAGCCTCCTGGGTGAGAGCCAGGTATCCTAGCCACTAGACCATATCGGATAGTTATTTGAACTACTTCAGTTTCCTAGATCCACTAACCACTAAAACAGTGTTCTTGAACCTAAAATTTTATGCACAAATATAGCCGCTAGATGATTAGGTAAAACATTATTTTAGAAAAATGTAGTGATGGCATTGAAAGTATACCAATCACTAGTATCTTCAGTTTACTAGAGTAAAAGTTGACATATTGAGGATATAAAGAAAATGTCTTTGTTTCCTTGATTTGCCTGGACTGTATTTAAATATGGACAATTATTTTTTACTGACAAATTTAATATTGACCGCAGTCTTTCTATGCAATAAATCTGTTTTTCATGAACTTACTTATTAACTATATACAAATAAAATACGCACATAAAGTTAAATTTAATCTTATGGTTAAAATTTAATTATATATATATATTTTTTTTTAATGAAATACTAAATATCATATAAGTTAACTAGCTTTGCAAATTTTGGAGATTTTTTTTACTGTAATATTATGCATGTTGATCATTCTTATATTATCAATAAAAAACTGATTGGAAACATAAAAATGTCCGCATTTCAAATGGAAATATTTATATAATATATTAATAAAAAATATATGATTATTATTATTAGGGTTCTGAGCCTTTCGCTAAATTGGTTCTGGTCGAAATATACATTCGATATTCATACATGTACATTTTTTCTGGTCGCAGATGAATCCTATGCATACTGTCCCTACGATCGATGATAACGGATTTTATCTTTGGGAAAGGTAGTTATAAAGCATGCAAAGCCGAGGGATCACTCGGACAGCGGAATTTCCATATTTACCATTTTCTTCTCTTCAGTCGGGCTATAATGCAGTACCTCGTTGATCAATATGGAAAAGATGACAGCCTCTCCCCGACCGTTCCCAAACTCGCAGCCATCGTCAACCAGCAATTGTATTTCGACGCTTGCACTCTAAACGCAAGACTTTACGAATACATGGTACCAAATTAAATCCAAATTTATTTAAAATAAACGCATTAATTATGGTTTGATAATAGTTGCCCATAATGATGCGTTCTGCAAAACCGAATATGGAAGTACATGCTAAGGTGGAGGAAGCCCTTGGAGTGTTCGATACAATATTGAGTAAAAATAAATGGGCTGCAGGGGATAACTTAACCATAGCTGATTTTGCTCTAATGTCGACGGTTTCTACTTTAGAGGTAACGCATATTAATATATTAATAGTAATTACCTAATACAATGTTTGAAGGCAATTATGTTCGATATCAAGAAATATCCAAACGTCGAAAACTGGCTCAATTCTTGCAAGAGAGATGTCACGCATTTCGAGGAGACAATACAGAAGGGATCTGACTGGATTCACGACTATTATTTAAACAAAACCAAGGACTATTAGAGATATATTAAATAGTTATGTTAGTACAAATTAATTAGTAAATGCATTCCAAAATACAAACGTGTCATGTGTAATAAATCTTTCCACATTATTAAATATAGAAAACAAACAATATTATCCAAAACTATATTAAATAATTTGAGAACTACAAATAATCTTGAAATCCAATCTTGTTCATTGGAATGCAAAGGCATATCGTTGATGATTGCATACTACAAAATTCTATTCACATTCCGCAGTTTTCGAGTTTTATCTTGTGTTACACTCAAACCACAAAAATCATGTAGTTTTATCTTTTGTTATGTCATCAATCAAAAAAATATCTGCACTTGCGTATAGTATAACTAACAAAATTAATATAAGTACTAAACAAAAAATATTACAATTGGAAGATTTTTTTTAAATCAACGTCCAATAAAAATACCTGCTTTTAACAAAGAAAAATACGGTATATTAAAAAAAATTGATATAAATCCTCGTTTAACGCTTCCTCAATTACCGCTAATACGATGTAACGTGGCCAAAAAAAACCTCTACATTTACTATAAGTTAATGGGACTAATTTTAACGCTGTTTCGCTTATAAATTGTTGTCTTAAATAGTGAATTTTCATTTTACAATATTATTCAATATACCAAAGAATTATTCAATAAATTAGTGTTTTTATTTATTAGTAAAATTTGTCTTAGAAAGCAACAAATAAATTTAAATCTCTTACCTTCAGTTCAAATAAAACTTCAATAAATGTAATATTTTATAGTATATAAATGTGACTATTATTTTTTAAGCATTGATTATAAAATGTGTAAATGGTTTGCAAAATAATTTTTGAATTTAAGATTGTTTCTACAAATATTCTTAGGTTGTTTTAAAATTTAAATTGTTTCGTATTTTCCCATTCTTATACTGGTTTCTAATTGGTGCAACCAATTTGTTTTTTTATTTTTTCTCTCAACAAAACCTGATTTATTTAAAAGAAATCTATGTTTGATGAGTTATTGATGCAAACTACAAATTCAAGACATATTTGTATCAAAGATTATCCAGCAGATGGCACTGCGTCAGTCTTCATGAACTTATTAATGTGAAACTACAAATATCAAATTTATAAATATCGAGATGTATAAATTTAAAGTTAATGTTAAGTTAAATAATTTCTTTGAATAGAGTTAATTCTTAATGAGGGAAAACATATAACTTAAGTTTTATATCAAAAGATGGTGCTTAAAGAAAGTTTTTTAAATTCAATAATTCTTTGGTTTGCCAGTAAACTGAGAGTTTTGCCGCATTGAAAATAATATAATTCTCAAATTAGATGGTATATTCATAATTATTTTGAAATTGAATATTTTCTTGGGAAATGCAATTAACTCAAAATTTATTGAATTTTGTCTTATCATTATTATTTTCATCACATCACATTTATTAAATTTATTTTACTTTATTCAAGATTATATAAAAATTATTAAGAAGTATTTACATTCCAAAATGTACCTACACAAAATTTACTCTGTGACATCAACATTTTTATGAATGTTAATATTAACATACACATATACAATATTTGATTCTTCGATTCATCAATAATGATACAATATCTAGGACAAAACATAAATTATAAATCATAATTAGTGTAATTAATGAGAATCAATATGTATCAATACGTACATGGCAAAAGCAAAAAAAAGAAATCACTTATTAACCTTGAATCGTATTGCAAATTTAAAGAATTCAGAAAGTTTTCCTAAAACCCATACTTTCTTTCCCATTGATGACTATTTACAATATTTCTCTAATAATCCATTATGTAATTTATTTGCTACATTTGATTATATTATTTAAAAAATTATTCATTTTATGAGTGTATACTAATTAAAAAATAACTGTGAGTAATTTACAATTAAATTAAAATAACTTTGTAAGGAAATGTTTTGATTCCGAATGATTCACCTATTCAGGTGCATGCCTAAGTATACCCAGGGCAATTATTGATTTATTTGATTTATAATTTAAGTTCACCAGCAAAATGTGAAATAGTGTAAAGAACAGTATTTATAATGCACCAGGATGTAAATATCGTGACAATAACTAACTCGAAACAATATTTTTTATTGTTTTTCTTCTTCATGTCTGTAATTACAACAATATAATTTGATGAATTGGTTGCACATTTCATCATTTCAGTATCAATTATTGGAATTTTTTATAAAATTATTAGTAAACAAATATATAGAAAGATTATAATTTCATAGATTTTTAAATTATAACACTAATAATAATAAAGCGACATATGAAAGATGGAGGGTAATAAAAAAGTCTCTGGTAAATTCCTACTTGCATATGTCACTATTTTTTTACACCATTTATTCTGAAACCAATTATATGGAAATATTACATTAACAATAGATTTATGGTCATTGGTTGTGTAAACTGCAATTTGTTGTAACAACATTATTTCAATTTATTTTAATTGTTTTGCTGACAAATGGCTGACTATAAACAATGTTCAAAAAATTAAAAATATTTATAAAATCTATATATAGTATTGTTATATAAGAAATGAATTGAAAGTAATTATAAATAATTTGTGATAGATTAAATTAACAGTCTACAAATAAATTACAATGCTATTAATGTTGTTGACGAGGAGCTAAACTATAATTTAATACTCCAAATTGTTCACAATCGCAATGCATGCAAGTTTACCTAATTGACTTAATAAGCACACATTACTGCATAATACTTGACAGATATTTTGTATCTGTTTGTTTGTAACGCATCGCCGACAACAAATTGCAATTTCCGAATACGCTGTATAAAACCGAATTATTAGCAATCCACATTTAGTGAACGAAATCCTACGGAAGATTACACAATATCACAGGGTAAGTGTTTCTCGTATCAATTATTCAAAGACCAGAAGTTCTTCGCGTTTCGTTTTTTTTTTCTTTGATCCCCAACGAATTATTACTGGATAATAAATAGTTGAGTTATGTCTTGCATAATGTATGCGCTAATACGTAGCCTGCTGTTTGTCCCTCGAGTTTGTACTTCCCATCCGTTTCCATAGCAGCATCCAGCAATAAATTGTGTCCCAAATTGGTTTTCATCCACATTCCAAGCTCAATCGTTTCTTAATGTACGTGCTTTTCGTTCAAACAGACCAAACAAGAAGTCATCCTGGGTAACTGCATAGAAACCGACACCGTCGTTCCGATATTCACGAAGACAACGTATTAGTTTAATTCCTTTTTGGGTTTGGTTTGGAGTGATACGAAGAAGTTGAATTTGGTTTCAGGAAAATCGGTGGGAAAATGAATCCTGTCGACGTATACTTCTTTCCAGCCAGTCCACCTTCGAGGGCTGTAATCCTGTTGGCAAAGTTCCTAGGACTTATCATCAACGCCAAAGTTACCAACATCATGGCTGGTGAACAAATGACTCCTGAATTTTTAAAGGTATATATTATATAAATACTTGATACTCTAGGTCAATGTTTACCAAGCTTTTTCCACAACGTAAATCCTGAAGATAGTTTGGGAAAGCCTGCTCTAGGTCAGGGCCGTCTTATCTATTAGGCACTTTAGGTCATACGAAAAAAATATTGGTATTAGAATTCAAGAATACATATTTTGTATTTAAGTTAAGTTAGAGATCTTATCAGGGTATAGATAAGATCAGGAGCTTGGGGCCCATGACAACCTGTGGTACCATTCTAGGTACCCAGAATGTAAATAATTTAATTTATGTTCTTAGATGAATCCAATGCACACCGTTCCAGTGATCGACGACAACGGATTTCATCTTTTCGAAAGGTTTGCTAATGCTTCAATGATTGCAATTATTTGATGATTCTGTTTATGCAGTCGCGCCATTATGCAATATTTAGTGGATCAATACGCGACAGACGATAGCCTCGCTCCCAAAGAACCAAAATTGGCGGCCAGAGTGAACGAGCGCCTCTACTTCGACTCGGGAACTTTGTCATCGCAGATGCAAGCGTACATGGTAAGCATCTCCACCAACATTGAATCCATCAATCCTACAAATCTATATCAGTTTCCAGTCTTTAAAGGCGGTCAACCAAACAATGAAGCGCACGATAAGATCCTCAACGCTCTGCAAGTTTTCGACAAGATGTTGGAAAACAATACCTGGGCTGCCGGGGATAAGCTTACTATAGCCGACTTCTCGCTTGTAGCAACTATATCAACATTGGAGGTAATCTTGTAGATCTCGAAATAACAGCAAAATTAACTTATTCGTTGCAGGCTATCAAATTTGACATCACTATATACCCGAACGTGCATAGATGGTATGAAGCTTGTAAGAAGGAGATGACTGACTACGAGGAATCGAACCAGAAGGGCGCAACGATGCTGGGCGGATTTTATGCCAGCAAATTGAAGAACTAAAGAAATATGTTGTATTTTTATCCGCTCTTTCGATCGATTCTATTTCGGTACGATGTTAAATTGTAATCAATTAGGCGGCGGAAGCTTGGAATTACGCTGCACTTCAGCAATTTACTTGATAAATTTTATCACGGGCGCATAGCCTTGTAGATGGGGATCTATCTATGCATTTAGAAATAAGTACAGGCTAATTACGGACGTACCTCGAATACTTTCGTTAGAACTGTGCGGTAGCGGCTATATCATCAATCTTCTGTTATTCTCATTTATTTTCAATCGAAAATAATAAAATAAATGCAATAAAATAAAGTTGTACACTACAAAATACAGTGAAAATAAACTAAAACAGTCACGTGTTAATAATAATACAATATATTATAAACATGGGAAATGACCACAATAACTATAACAATATTAAATTATGTTACTAAATTGTTTATAATAAATATGATTATAAACATTTGCGAATCCCCAAATTCTCTATTATATTATAAACAGAGAAAATTACCAAAATAACTATGGAAAGAAACAAATATATATTTTTTAACAATGAACAATTTACACTACCAAAGGCTTCCACCGTTGACGCATATATTAATATGAATGATGAAATAGATAATAGAGGTAATATGAATATATCAACAAAAGAAAACGAATTTCACCTATATTTAAATTAAGAATAAAATATTATAATATAAATTCATAATAAATCTATACGGTAAACAGTTTATAAGTTGTGGATAAATGTGTCATTTCGTTTAGTATCCGAAATGCACAGAAAATTAACAATATTCAACGAATTTATTTATAACCATTAGTACTTTTTCTATTTGCATAAGCGCAGAACTATTTGTGAAAACGCTAGTTAGTAATTATTAATTGGTAGGTCTTTGCTATTTTGACTAATTCTTAACCAAATTCTTGTTCAGAAGAAAAATATCTACAAAATAATATGTTGCATATTTAATTTACAAAAAATGTATACAATTCAGTTTAATTATAATTAATTTAATATGTAAATAATTCTGGAAAGATTATTTTTTTAGATTTCTAGAGAATCGAATCAATTCAATTACTTAATGACCACTATACAAAGGTTGAGTAATTCAGTGAAGGAACGTTTGTTGTTTTAATTGTAAGTTTTCAAATGTAAATAATTATGCAATTTTATATGCGGTTATGTGTTTGAATCGTTAAGTTATCACTATCATAAAGTTCCATTCTTCCGGTTTGTGGTCTTTAAACATTCGTTTTATTATTTAGTTATTATCGTTTATCTCTCTATATTTCAATTGATTGTTTTGTCTACAATGAAATTATTTGTTTATTGTTTATTGTGAGCAATTCAGCTATCATTAATTTCAAAAATATGCGTTTGAATCATAAGTAGCAATATAAGCAGTAAAATGTATTTAAGATTATTTTTGTAACTACAAGATGACAGGTGCTTTTTTGTTCTCGGAAATCCCGGGAAATTAGAAAATAATAATTCAGTAATTTCAAAATATGAGTTTGATATTCATGCAACAAGCTTTATTTTTTAAATTATATTGAAATTATAATGAAAGGTGTTTTTTTGTTCTCGGGAATTGGGAAACTTAAAATAAGATTCCCGGGAATACAAAAATTTATTCATTAATGGAGAGAAATTTTAGAAAACCGTGTTTGCCACAATGAAATACA